TTTCGGTAAGATTGGGTGCGATTTTGCAAAATAAAAACGGTGATTTAAATTCTTCAAAAAAATTCTGCTTTTAACTAATGTAATCACTACAAATTATCGCGATGAATTTCTGAAGATTTCATGAAATCAAATAAGGGGAAAGAACAAAAATATTTTTACCAAGATGTTCTAATAAAATGAATTTCAAAAATAATTTAATTCGTTGTGAATAAGTCCTGAAAATGTCATTAGACTCTGAGAATTTGATTTTTGCAAGAATTTCCAAATTAATGTGTCTGTCACTGCAAAAAAAGAGCCGAAAATGTGCTATGCTAAAAGTTGGTACAACCGCCGACGCAAGAAAAACAAATGTTTTTATATGTCCCGGAAAAGGGATATATTTGATCGAAGTAGCTAAGTGGTTTTGGCTACTGTAACCAAGTAGTACACGATAGCAGTAATCGACTGGTACTCGTCGTAGTCGCAGGTAATAGGTGTAGACCAATAGGATAGCCAATGCTGTAGTCCAATGCGCGTCGTCATAGACTTAAACTCTGTCGTACCTACATGTCCGTCTGTATTTATGACGGACACCAGTCAGTCATATTCTAGTGAGGTGGAACTCAGGTGTATGCATATTCCATTATATCATTTTTTTTAATCAAAATTTCAAATGTTCTAAAAAGGAGTAAAAAATTTAATGAAATATTCCAAAATACTTTGATCCTTTCTTTTAATAATAACAGAATGATTTTGAAGATAGGCCTATGTCTTCATTACGTTTAGAGCATGCTTTCATTACGGTATGCTGATTTTTTTGAGATCTTGTGGAGATACCAAAATTAAATTGTTGTTTTCAAAACTAAGCAATAGTAACACAAATCACAGAGATAATATCAATGGTATTAATATATTTTACCGAAACCAAATGGGCGAATTTATTCTAAGTTTTTTTTAAATGTATCATCCCAGTTAAACAAACTAAAAATGTCAAATTATTATATTATAAAAGAAATCAGAACAGTCAATCTTATCAACAACAAGAGCTCACCAGCAAAATCAAAATTGTCTTTCTGAATTCAAATTCCCCAACAGTGTTCACGATGAAAACAAAATAATAAATAATCATATCGAACACACCACCACTCGCTTATCAAGACAGCTGAACCTACATTTCTCAGACCAAAGCTCCATATGTGTACATGTAAACTAACACGGAAATATACGAACCTCAGTACGAAACACACTCACTCGTGAGAATACAAATATGATACGCACCTTGAACCGTAAAAAATGTCTAAAATAATTAAAGCCTTTATTTTAAAAATACGGATTTTATTCTTAGTTGATTGGTGGCTTTAACATGGATATATTTGGTCTTGGTGAATTAAGATTGACAACAGTAAATATCGCGTTCAGTACTGCAGATTGATTTGTCAGTTACCCGACCATAACCAGTTATGTAATTTCTCTAAAGTTAGACACACTGTACATATCTATTTGTGAGCGGGAGTAGTGAGGCAGCATTATGGCCATATGTCAAGAGGGTTTTTTTTTAAGTTTGAGAAATGAGGCAACTATCGAGATTCCCTCAATCGGAGACGGTTTGAATGGATTAGGTTACTCGACTGAGGTTCACCTTATTAAAGCCTGTCATCATATCTCTCACATTTGGCTGAAGGTGTCATTGAAAATAAGAAGTATAAGAAAATTAATAACAAAGCTGGAAAACTGTTCGTGTGGCGTGTTTCGTTCTTTAGGACTTCATCGGACTAAAGTGATGTTATCGTTGATGTAACTACACATGCGAACAAAGGAGAGGGGCGCAGAACATTTAACTTTTTAAATGTATTTTTTTAAAATCTGTTTGGGGTATATCGTCTACTCAATTTCATTTAGTTTCTTTTTCTTGTAGTTTATGTGTTTTTACTTTTTCAAGAAAGATGAAATTTTGCAAGAACCTGGAGGTAAATTTACCATGAATGATCTAGCAATCAGTGCACTTTCTATACATTTTCACTTTATTAAATTGCTTTCTCGTTTAATTAACGTAGCATTTTTAAATCGAAATTATGGTCAGACTCATTATGGTGAGCAGGTTAAAAGTACCTTATATGCATTTAGTGTCTTGTTTTGTGAAATATCCCTTTTCCGCCAGGTTTCTCCTATGTATTCCACGTAGCAAGTATTACAGGTGATAGAGTAAATTCCTCTTTTAAGTTTTAGCTTATTATTATTTTGTTTTTCATTAAGTCTTTTATCTTCAGCTTTGATAAATTCTTTTCAATTGTAGTTTTGATGGAATTTGTAGGTAGACTAATATATTTTGGTTCGCTGAGCTTGTTAGAACAGCCTACTCTTATATTTTGAAACCTGGCCACCATTGATGATATACGATGATGATATATTACGAAACTTTTGTTTCGCGTGAGATACGAAAAAATAACTAGAAGTATGAAATTTTATGGGATCTACTATAACCATTAGGTATTGCATAAACCATGCATTGTAGAGATATATAAGGAAAGAACACGTGATATCTACGATAATTCCCCTATCGCCCGGTTCACACTCCACCCTGGTCTTTTGAACAGGAGTAGAGTTTTATCCTTTTTTTTCCTGTTTAAGATTGGGTTCCCGATTCCCCCTAATATATTTTTCATTCTCAGTAAGCCTTTGCATCTTAGTGGCATTATTAGTGAATTAATTTTTTAAAATGTTCTGGGACGATAACGCATTTGGAAAAAAAGGGGGAAAAACAAGAAAACTATGATAATTCTGTTATGATCCAGAATGATGATAATTCTGTTATGATCCAGAATGATGATGATATTTCAACCCCACAACCCAGCAACCCCGTCCTGACTCCAGACGAATTAGGCGGCCTCCTTGAAGCCTCGAGATTGCAAAAAATATTCCGACATGGCTAGCAGTCCGACTGTTCTTATTGACATACGTCAGTCACCGTCAGCCAATGAAAAAAAGCTTTACTCTCTCCCCTCATACAGACTGGTGTCTTTTTAAAATTTGGTAATTCTATTATAAAATATATTGCTGGTCATTTTGACTTAAAATGTATTGCTGGTCATTTTGACTTAAAATGTATTGTTAGTCACTTTGCTTTATAAAATGTATTGTTGGTAATTCTAGTATAAAATGTATTGCTGTTCATTTTGCTATAAAATGTATTGTTAGTCATTTTACTCGAAAAATGTATTATTTGTAATATTTTTTATAAATATACATTGTTGGTAATTTCATGACAAAATATATTGTTGGAAATTTTTTTTATAAAAACGTATTGTTTTGTTTTACTATGCAAATGTATTTTTATACTTTCCTGGTGTTTTGATTTTTGCTTGGGGGTTGACTATTTGCCCATTGCTTGTACCCTAACTGGTGCTGCCACTCCAGGTCAGGGTGGATCTCGGAACAACAGCAATTAAGAGGTAATTCCACGCTCCTCGAAAAGTTCAATCTCCCGATCAGAGGCTTTGCGTCGGATGTAGTTTATCGTCATACCCAGGACCGTACATTGAGAGATGGTTTACCTACTTGCAGACGTACAATGGGCACATTCTACAGTCCAGGCCGACAGGGTGTCGAATTCAGTAGAGGTCATCCCCATTTCTGTTGATGCTTTGGGCACCATCAGTACTGCATTTCCGAAATGGCTGTAGAAGATTAGAGTCAATGTCAAAACTGGGAGCTTGAAAAAGACTGTGCCCTGTAGATCTGCATATAGGTTTTAAACAGTTCCTCAAACCGTAATAAAATATACCAGTTCGGACCAATAGTTATGGGCAGCGGGTATGGTTTATTTTGTTTTACGGGATATCAACCTCAGTAGATTATATAATGCTGTAAAGTTTTGTATAAATAGAATATGTATTAATATTTTATTTCAAAAATGTATTGCAGGTAATTTTTTTCAAAAATGTATTGCTGGCAATATTTTTTTCAAACATGTATTGCTGGCATTTTTACTATAAAAATGTATTTTTATAATTTCATAGCGTTTAGACCCCAGTTTGGGGATTAACTACAATAATTTGCCTCCAGTTTGACAACGGTTTGGGGATTAACTAGAATAATTTACTCATAGCTGGGACTCCAAAAGGTGCTATCACTCCGGGTCAAATCGATGTGAACCTAGGAACAACAGCAATTAAGAAAGGATTCCACACTTCTCAAAACATTCCCATCAGAGGCCTTGCTGCCGGATGTAGTTTATCGTCATACCCAGTGCGCCTCATTTGTGGGAGTTAACCCTCTGCAGAGGTGAAGTAGGAGTTTTCTGAAGCCCCAACCGACTGGTCGATATGGACAGCTGGTACTTTGGTTCCATATTCAACAAAAGTGATTGATGTAAATTTAAGCTAATTAATTTGACCGTAATTCTGAAATTTAATTATTAAATACATTTGCATTTATATTTATACATATTTAATGTATATGTAAAATATCCATCAACTTATATGTAATAACAAAGACCTACAGTTTGTTATCTAGATGCAATTATACGGATATTTACTCGTATGGCGTATACACACACACATATATATATATATACACATATTTACACACACATATATATATATATATATATATATATATATATATATATATATATATATATATATATATATGTATGTAAGTTTATTTAAAATTGTATCCTCTCGATTTAAAATCGCTCTGAAAAGAAACATATCAGCATATTCAGTATTTATCTACCTGTTCGACTGAAGAGACAATGTTTTTTTTATTTTATTTTATTTTTTTTTTTTGGGGGTTACTGAAATAGATTCTATTATTTAAAACCTAACTTTCTGCCCAAGACAAAAGAGTGACGCAAAACATTAGTTTTAATGAACAGGAACAAAAACAATTAAAAATCAGACGAGCTGCAAAAAGCTGATTGAAACTGCCAATTCTCTGATCGATATGTCGGCTGATCATGGAAAAGATACTTGAGTTGGACTAAGATGGTCATAAAATCAATTTGTCGATATTTTCAACTTTTAAGATCGATTAACAGATAGATAGATAGATAGATAGATGAGATAGATAGATAGATAGATAGATAGATAGATAGATTTGAACAGAATGAAATAGTGATAAACTGAATTTAATAGACAAAGATGAACACATAGATAGATAGATAGATAGATAGATAGATAGATAGATAGATAGATAGATAGATAGATAGATAGATAGATTTGAACAGAATGAAATAGTGATAAACTGAATTTAATAGACAAAGATGAACACATAGATAGATAGATAGATAGATAGATAGATAGATAGATAGATAGATAGATAGATAGATTTGAACAGAATGAAATAGTGATAAACTGAATTTAATAGACAAAGATAAACACATAGATAGATAGATAGATAGATAGATAGATAGATAGATAGATAGATAGATAGATTTGAACAGAATGAAATAGTGATAAACTGAATTTAATAGACAAAGATGAACACATAGATAGATAGATAGATAGATTTGAACAGAATGAAATAGTGATAAACTGAATTTAATAGACAAAGATAAACACATAGATAGATAGATAGATAGATAGATAGATAGATAGATAGATAGATAGATTTGAACAGAATGAAATAGTGATAAACTGAATTTAATAGACAAAGATAAACACATAGATAGATAGATAGATAGATAGATAGATAGATAGATAGATAGATAGATAGATATTAAAGCAGTTATGGACAGCGCTAAACAGAAAGAAAACGGTGAACAGATTGGCAGATAGACCAAAATAAACAGACTGAGAGAGTTGCCTGAACTAAACTGACAGAGAAATCGATCTTAGCAGACTAAGGTAAATATGAACAGACTAATCTAGCTAGGTAAATATGGACAGAAACGTGATCTTTAACGAAAACTGCTAACCACAGAAATAAACTAGAAAACTTTTCCTCAAGAATAGGACTGAACTGAGTTTGATACAGGGATAATGAAAAATAATAATTACACACGGAATGATTTCATGATTAATGGCTTGCAAGTTTAACACCCTAACATCCCATTAATACATATGTTTCTATTAGAGTTTTTTTTTTGGGGGGGGGTCATCTATACACACATGAGCGTTATAGTACTGATACTTCTCTTTTTAGGGGGTAGTTAAGATCGTTACCCGACGGCTAAGGCGTTCCCAATAATAACCTTGTGAAAGGTATTAATCCCCTTCTTCTCTCTCCAGCTATGGGTAAATAGCAGAACGGACTGGGTTCTATAGCCTTGGATAGCAGCTGGTCTAGGAGAAGGATAAATCTGAATTCAAAACCTGCGGATGATCGTTTGGAGACCTTGTGGCACGTAGTGCACCAGGTCTCTGTATTCGGCCCTTCAAAAAGTGTGGATGCTCCTGCACGAAACCTTCACCACTATAATCAAAATCATATGTGCTAGTGTCTGGCCTGTCGGTTCCTAGGAACGGAGCTACTTGACCCTCATACGTCGACTACGACAGGAGAGTCCACTATATATATATATATATATATATATATATATATATATATATATATATATATATATATATATATATATATATATATATATGTGTGTGTGTGTGTGTGTGAATATATTTTCAGTGCATCCACGTCGCTACCAAATGTACAAAAGTTCGAGATTTAAAGTGTCTTTGCCGGCAATACTGTGAAAAAATTACTCATGCCCTTTTGGCACTCCGCCTTTTGGGGACACCCCAGCCGTCGGGTAACGATCCAAACCACCTCCCGAAAAAGTGTTTGAGAAAATATTAATTTCAACTTTCCCAACAAAAATTAATGAAATATATATATATATAAACATATATATGTATCAATGTACTAAATGTAGCGGAACAGAAATCATTATTTTTCTTCGTATTAGATAAAAAATAGTGCTCAATTTAAAATATACGACTAGATAGATAGATAAATGGATAGATTTTTCTCTTTTTATACCTCTGTATCATTAATTTGTACATTACTTTGAGTGAAACATTTCGATAAATGTCTTCATATACTTTATAGTGCAAGTCTAATGGAGCTGTGGTCGGATAGGTGTAACGTAAGTCGTCTGGATTGGCATACAATCGTGTGAGCGATGCAATTTTGAGTTTGGTTTGATCAGGAACACAGTTCCTTAAGGGACACTTGAACTCGTGAATAATGTCGGTTATTTGTAGTTTTGATTTTGCAGGTGTACTTTTATTTTTAAGGATAAAGTTAGCTTTTTAATTTTTTTTGTAATAGATAATTAAATTTTTTCTTGTGTTTAGGTCAACTGGGATAGTGTATATCTTTATGATATTTCTAAGTGACGTGCATTTAGCTCTTGTAGATGCATTGTTTATGTTTTTGTTTTTGTCTGTGTGTTCAGTATCGTTATTATTTACTTTTGAAAGAAATAGTCTAATCTGGTGGTCGATGAGGTAGTTAGGAAAACCATTATTAACTAATGTCTGTCTTGCATTGTTGAGATCTTTAAGGAAAAGTAGACAAGAGAATGGATTCTCGTGTACTCTCTTTAGGTAATTTTTATCACTGGTATTTTGTATTTAAGCCGGCATTCACTGTGAAAATTAAGGTAGCAAGAGTTTCTGTTTGTGGTTTCTTTTATACAATCAGGTGGTGAAAGTGTTGTTACTGTATTGTACGAGAAGGTCTAAGAATAGGAGTTTATTTTTTTACTTAGTTCGTAGGTAAAGTTATATAAACAACTGCCACCAGTCACTATGAGCGGATGACCCCCTTGAGGAGGCTCCGTGCCTTGGGAATCTATTGGACCTCAAACTCATACCAGACCTCAAATGGAAATCGCACATACGATTCATCGCTAAAGATGCAGTTAAAATGATCGGCTCCCTGTACCGAACACTTAAGTACCTGAATCCTCATGCTATCCTCTACCTTTACAAGAGCTAGATCAGACCAAAAATAGAATACTGTTGTCATATTTGAGTGGGATCTACCCAGTCTAATTTCCAATCACCTGAAGAAGGCCGGAGCGTACAATGACCGAAACGTTGCGAATATGGCAATGAAGATGAGAATAACAGCCCGAATCATTTAAAACGGTCTGGATGATTTTCACACCAGTTGCAGTTTCCTTCCCGTAAAAGTTGCATATTTTCCAGTGAAGATATTTGGCCCATTCAGTCATGCCGAGTTTTATATTCAATGGCTGCTAACACTGTGAAAACCTGACACAATATGGCGAATAATTTCTGGACATTTATCAAAGAATCTGTATTTCTGGCTAACTTTTTCAGTGTGTGTTCTTGATAATTTCTAGTTAATAAGCAATGGTTCTGTGCAGCAAGAATAAAACCTTCGGTTTCTGCTTTTAACCCTGCACTAATTAATCACCGATGGGTATGGATTTTATATTATTATTTTATTTCCTTTGATTTCTGGTGTGTACACATTTCTTTCCGGGTCCCCCTCCAGAGACCTAACATTAGCAATATCATCATGACATTTTCCTCTAACCAATTAAACACACACACACACAAACATATTTTACACAGATAAAGCCTTTCGTAAGGTGTGGGCTGTACTCGTGAGATCAATTTTTGTAATTCTTTAAGGCATGGACTTCCAGGAATCCCTTCAATTAATCTATTGAAATCTTCTCCAACCAATCCTAGGATTCCAACTACAACAGGGATTGTTGATGTTCCCATGTGCCACATTTTTAGATTTCGATTTCAAGGTCCTTGTATTTTGATAGCTTCAAAGATACATTGCAGTCTGCAGGGACTGCCATATCAATAAGGAAGCACCTTATTATTATTATTATTATTATTATTATTATTATTAAAGTCACATATACTTATCATGATACCCAATCTGATAAGAGTATACAAGGTACATGCATCAAATATTCGTGATTGGTAACACATTTTGATAAAACCAGCACAGATGTGCAGCTGAGGTCCAATCATTATTATTATTATTAAAGTCAAATATACTCATCATGATACCCAATTATTATTATTATTATTAAGTGTTCTCTCTGTCTTTTTTACAAATACTTTCATGGTAATTGCTCCGATGAGCTGCTTTCACTAGTTCCCAGGCTTCATGAATTCAAGTGCCCTACGAGGCTGGCATCACCCTTTCACTGCCGAAACTACTAAATATAGCCATCTCTTCTACTCCAATAGCTTCATACATCGCACCTCTCGCCTCTGGAACACCCTTCCCAATTACTGTTTCCAACTATTCAAATGTAATGTCAATCGACATCTCCAGTTACCTTGATCTATCCACTATCCCTCTCCTCATCCTTTCCTCTATCATTCCTATCTGCTCTCGCTCCAAATCTTCTACAACCACCTGCATCCTAGAGGCTTCACGCCTTGCCCGTGGCATAATGCTTAAAAAAAAAAAAATAGACATGTTTTGCCCCTGGTGCCACACATATGAATTCTTTGAATTTTGTGACTTCCAATCCAATGATTTTGCTTCGAAACCCTTAGCTAAGTTCTCATTTCACCATAGCCCAGAAGCAAAACCTTTAGGTTTCTTTATATGACTATTTTCAGTCCAATTCGGGGGAGAAACTCGATGAATATCCCTGAACTATAAAAGCAAGAAACTTGTTTTATTAAATTAAATTTAAATGTGTATAGCAGGTTTGTTGATCTGTGCCCCCAACTGAGGGATAATTGGCTTAGATCGATGTCCACCATACTTATTGGATTTCGATCGATACACTATTTCCATTTATTGCGGTTCACGAATGTTTACCTGTTTAAAATCGACCCAGACAAAGCGAAAAGCATTTTAATTAAAAATGAAAGCTAATCACGGGTTATTAAAAAAAAGGTTGGTTGATGAAAGCAAATGAAATTACGTTTGAACTTCAGGTTAATTAAAAAAGCTTTGGTGTTTGACAGAAAGAGACCAGACAATAGTGGGAAAAAATGGAAAATAGCAAGACAGACGCACGATGCTGTGTGATGGTTAACAAGTTTCTTCTTGCAGGTCAGTTCACTTGTGCAGAAAGTTTAATCGCCAGTGAGTTTTCTGTGCTCGACTTAAGAAATAACTTGTCAGAGGGGAATAGACTGGCCGCTGCATAAGAAATAGACAAATCTGTTAAAGAATAAAAAGTAGGCAATGTGGGAAAATAGGAGGTTAATATTTCTCATAAAATTGAGATGAATGAACCATATATTCGACTTATGAGTAGCAGTTATTAAACACACGCACACACATAGATAGATAGATAGATAGATAGATAGATAGATAGATAGATAGATAGATAGAATGGAAAAAAGGAAGTGACGTTTCACATACAGCTTGCCTACAAGCAAGATTTTTCATAACCATTTTCGATTCTCACCCGTCGAAGTGCAGTTGAAATGCACTGAAACAAAGTTGCATCTTTGTAGTGAGTAAAATGCTTTTGTCTATATGGTAAAATTATAATAAATAAATAATTACCGCTCTACTATCAGTATCGAACCCACTTTTGGATTAATGCCGTAAACGTTGGAATTTATATATTACTTTCGTTCTCATCGCATCGGATATATATATATATATATATATATATATATATATATATATATATATATATATATATATATATGACGTTGTTTTGACCTCTGGGCCACAGAGTTCATTGATAATGAAGCAAAGTTGAATAGTGCCTTTAAAAAAAAGATTTTTTCTGACTCCCGAAATAGATATATCTGTAACGTAAACAAAGCAATTTCTTATGAAAGGGATCTATTTTTTTATTTATTAATCCGACAGATTTTATTACTTAAACTTGACCAATCGACGCACTTCATGGTTGAGAGCTCTAAATCACATCAGATTTAATGACGTTTTTCCTATACAGGAAATTCTAGCGCCTTTTTTGCCCTGAAAAACACATTAATTTGGAAATTCTGACAAAAATCAAATAACTGTCGGATTTTAATGAAACTTTCAGAATTTATTCACAAACGAATGAAATTAATTTAGATTTTTTTGAAAATCATGGTAAAAATATTTTTATATCTTAATCAAGAAATTCCAAAAGGAATAAATTTTGGTTCTCTTAATGTTTATAGCTAAATACTATAAACATTAAGTGAGTCAAAATTTATTCTTTGTAACAGAACTACTTAGACGATTTCAGTCATCAATTTTTGCAAAACTTTAACATCAGAAAATCGAATTTATCAATTATAATTTTTATACTATTATCCTCTATTACTTTTCATAATAATGGCGAGATTAGTTGTCCCCTCTTGAGATTTAGCATTTATTGGTCAAACAATTAGTATTACTGTTACTTGACATTCATAATATTTTTCTCTTCAAAGAGTTTATCGAGAAAATCGGTTTCTAAAGTCAACTGTTACGGCTCTTTTTAGTATTGGTAGATGTTTCCTTCTTAACTTTTTGCTTAAGTTACAGTGGGGAAAGTTAGTATCTTGACTATGTCATTATTTTCTCCTCAAGTTACATGTACTAACCATTGTAGCTGTTGCTGCTGTTGAACGTCCTCAAGTGATGTGGTTTCTGTTATTTGGTAACGTTCTTTGTGAATCAATAGCATCAGTCTACGAGATCCGACATAGAACATTCCTCTTTAAGACCTACAGGGATCGTTTACCTGAAGCTATTTTTCATTGAGAAAAGGGTTGTATAGATCTGATGGTTTAGACATCTCTGAGCGATTTGGACGCCATGGACGATTTTCATATAAGAGTCGAGAGCTGATGAGATTATGTAAGAACAGAATTTGAACTGTTGCTTTACGTTTTTGCTTTTATAGCACCTTGCGGTGTTGGACATAACTACCCTTAGAGCTGCCTATCCTGTGTTTAATTTCAGTATCTCCTAGACTAAATTGGTTATGTCTAATCCATACACTGAGGATGCTTGGCGGGGAGTGAGCATTTTGAAGTGTAATGCAAGCTTGTCTCGCTATATTAATTACATCTGAGTAGTGAATTCGATATTCAGTGGGTGCTCCACACTTTCGGCCTTGGTCAACATTTAAACTACGCTTAGAAAATAATTTTAGGCACTTCGACGTGGTGTTATGGTTAACAAGCTTGTCTCGCTAGATTAATTACAACTGAGTAGAGAGTTCGATATTCACTGGCTGCTACATTTAAGCTTAGAAAATGATTTTAGGCATTTGTCTCGTTGGATCAGTTATGACGGAATAGTGAGTACGATGCGCATTGAATGACCCCATACTTTCGGTTACGCTTAGAAAACCACCATACACCGAAGATTTTGACTTGTGTAGAATATATAATCCCACATACTGAATTTTATGATTAATCTATATGTATCATCTCATAGTATTTCCAGTTCGTGGTTTCTGCTTTAAAGATAATCTCAAGTTATTTATTTGGAACACCTGGTAAAGATTGTTGATTATTTTTTCAAGATTATTCTTCTCCCTACTATGTATACCTATGTCATCAGTTTAATTACAATCATTATGGGTACACTAGTCCCTAGAGGAAAAAATAATTAAAAATAGCATTGCATTTCATATATTTCTTAAATTTCTTAGAAAAAGACTATGAATCAACATCTTCCTGCACTTTACCCCATCTTTTTCTTCTTTATCTGCCGTGTCCCCTCAAGGCGTACGAGATCATGGCTCTCCACAACTTCCTGTTCCTTGTAGCTCTTAATCTTGTCTTCCTATTATTTCTCCTAAGCCCTTTTCTGACATTCATTTATTCAAGTTCACTAAATATGTCATGCATTGTTTTCTTCTGTCCCTCTTGCCTCCAATCTGTCCTGTGAGTTTCAGATTTTCCAAGCCTTCTTTCCTCATTATATGCTCCATGAACCTCAACTGACTCTTCCTCATGTCAAGTATTAATTTCCTTTCTGTTTCTATTTTCTCAAAAACGTCATCGTTACATATTTGGTCCATCGTATCCTCAACATCCTTCTGTAGTCTCTTCTTTATCTTTGAGAAGTTTGTGCAGCACTCAATGCTATACGGGATATCACATAGCAGTTTAGCACTCTTTTCCTTGTTTCTCGCGAAATCATTCTATTTCTTAGTACTCTGCTTAGCTTTTAGAATGCTTCCTTGTCTATCCTAATACAACTTCGGATCCCAGTGTCGCTAGTCATCTAAACAAAGGATGCCTCTTTGGTTGTTATTAAATTGAAAGAGAAGAGCTTAATCAGGTCTGCTACACCCAACGACATCCTTGACAGGGGATAGGATTCATTGTTACAGAACGTAAAGATGTCAGAGATATATTCTAAATTTCCTTCCACCTTTTTGCCTTCTTTCGTAACGATCGGAATGTGTCAGCTGCGGAGGTAGGGTTGGGCAAGGGTAACTTAATGGTAAATGGACAGACAGCAGTGACTTTAAGGGCTTCTATCCGTCACAATTGATCGGGGGCTGCGGGCAGTACAGGAAGCTTCAAAACATTAGTGACATACAGATGAGAGAAGAATGTTAGTCTTGCAAATTATATATATATATATATATATATATATATATATATATATATATATATATATTCTTTCTTTCGTGGCTCAAAGGAGGACTGAATGATGAATGTAATATGAATGTTTCAGCTGACATTCACTATATTTACACTAGTAGGTATTTGTATTATCACAGTCTGTTAGGTTTTATGAGTTCACTTGGAAGTCACAAAACACAAAAAGCATGATTCTCAGGTATGATATTGTACCCGTTATATTTCCCGTGATGCTCCAGTTAAATAGTAGAAACTTATAATGTAGTTCATTACGACAAAACGATATATAAATGTTTCTATATCAAGAATAATTTTAGGAAATAAATATGTTTTCGTGTGACTCGTTACGTCCTTAAGAACTACATCGGATTTTAGTCCGATGATATCAGAAAGGACGAAGCGCATCACACGGAAAAATTTTACCACTTTTTATTATACATCTTTCTAATATATATATATATATATATATATATATATATATATATATATATATATAATTATTTATTTAAAATATGATTCCAACACGCTACATAAGAGGTCTCATGTTTCAAAACAAAGGTCGAAAACTTCAATATAATTATTTGAATTAAATTGAATTAACGTACTAAGCTCTGTTCCATCTTCAAGCGAAATTTTTTTGGGAATAACTTATTTCTTGCTTATAAAACACGTAAATTTCAGAAATAAGTTATTCCAAAAAAAAAAAAATTCGCTTGAAGATGGAACAGAGCTTAGTACGTTAATTCAAATAATTATATTGAAGTTTTCGACTCTTGTTTTGAAACATGAGAACTCTTATGTAGCGTGTTGGAATCATATTTTTAAATAAATAATTATACTTATGCTCTACTTTTGTATATTTAAGTAAATGCTCTGTTTATAATAAACAGTATTAACGACATTTTCCGGCCTGAATATCCGAGAAATTTTCATAGAAAATATGCGTCCTACGACAGGACTCGAACCTGCATCCTATACAGAACCGTCATATAACTAGACGCGCTTTACCGATTTAGCCACAGAGAAGCGATTCGGAAAGCAAGATCGATTTTACAGTTTTTAAACTACAATTCTTCATGATTTTCTCTCATACATTCATATCTGCTCGATGTTTATCTAAATGTAAACAAATGACGTCACACATTATGAAATCGACAAATCTGTATGTAATAAACACTTTACATTTACACCTTGCATTTATCATTTACAACAAAAAGTTTCAAATATCTAATCATTACTAATAAATTGGGACCTCAGAATCTTTGATACTACTAAAAAATAAAAATAAATTCTGACATGGTCCCAGAAACACAACACTATCTCGTAGGTGAACATAAGAATCTACGCTGCATGGTATCTGTCATTTCCGTTTTTATCTTTTTAATTCGATGGTAAACTGGACCTTTACCAGCCTATTATTCGTGAAAGTTTTCCTATAAGACTTATATTAGATATTAAATAATTCGACAAGTGTTATTATCATCATCAGTCCCACGACTGTTTCAATCGTCTAGGACCTGAGCTCACAAGAAACACACAAGTTCCTCTAGGCTGATCTTTCCATCCGGTGTTGTTTTTTTTTTTATATATATATTCTTCTTTTGCATGATCCTTTCAGCGGGTTTTCAGATAACTTGGCGGTGCCCATCTCCTCTCCAAGTTTTAATATGTCGTTAAATTACCTTACCTAACCTAAAGCCTAATCGTGTGTCTGAAACATTTGAACTATTTCTCTTAACTCTTTGGAAAAGGTTTGTATCTCGCGGAAAATCTCTTTCAAAACTGCAGTTTCTTTAACATTTAAGTTCTTTTTCATTTGTTACATGTCCATGGTATTCTCAATATTTGCCGGTCACTTCAAGTCTTTTCTTTGTTTGTGATGAAATCGTCCAGAATAAATTTACATACGAGAAATTAAACGCTAATATACAGTCCAACAATCTTTTCATTATTTACATTGTTAAGAGTATTGACAACAAACTCAACCGGAATTCTTACAGTGTTCGGATATTTCTTGTTCTGAATCGTTGGCCATTATAGCACCTGCATCTGGAATATTTCAATGGATGAAATACAGGTCAAGGAAACAGACTGGATTCAGTGTCGGGATATGATTGCGACTCCATGTCCTAGTCGGGACGAAGAGAATCCATAACACGGGCAATAATACTAGTGTCGAGAGAAATAAGCAACGACGTCAAACGTCAAACAGGCACCTATTATTGTTCAATATATCTATATCCTAATAATTGTAATGTGTCTTCTGTAACTATATTACTGTTCTTAAAGCTATACGCGCATGCGCTTTATATTAATCAAGAGTCGATTTAATAAAACTGGATTCATTATTTTCCTTATGCAGTGCGTTAAGGCCAAGAGATATTTCACATTATGAATGCCGTGTGGTTCAGCATAGCTAAGGAATTATCGATAATGAGTCTTTCGTTAATAGTTATCGATAAAAGATAAATATAAACGTTACTTGTAGCGGCGGGAACTGCCGATTGCAGGCCGGATAATAGAAGCTGGCTGTTCAGAAAGCGGTAATATCAGGGTGTGAAGACCGAGAGAGACAGCAATTGGTGTATCGTTGGGGTGGAGAATTAGGAGAAGCGAGGGTAATGTAAGAGGATAGGGGTGGAGAAAGGCGGGGAGAAGCAATTCATTAGAAATGCAATAAAGATGAGAAATTCTAAATGAGAATAATTGAAACAATGGAAGACTGAAAAAGAAAGAGAAAACAGCAGATCAAGGTGAGAGGAAAGTATAGAAAAGAAGCATAATTAGAAAAGAAAGAAAGAAAAGAAAGAAAGAAAGAAAGAAAGAAAGAAAGAAAGAAAATGAACAAATGAGGAGAAGAAAGTACAAAGGAAGCAACGAGGAAAAAGAAGGAAAAAAAGAAAGACGAAAAACTATATCGAAATATATATAAAGAAAGGGAATAAATATAGGATAGAAATAAGAAAACTGTCGAAAAAAAAAGAAAAGAGACTGTTAGGAGTTTATAGAAAAGAAAAACATGAAAAAAAGAATAAAAGAGAATCATCAAATGAGGAAGTGAATGAGGAATACAGGTAAGAATATGGAAATAAAATAATGCAGAGAATAAGGAACAGATGTAAAAATTAAAAATAAAGAATCGATGTGTAACTAAGGAATAAGAATAAGAAATAAAGAATCAGAATAAGGAATATTGATAGAATAAGTGACAGAATGAGACAGAAAGATCAGAATACGAAACAGATGTAAAATTAAGAAATAAAAGTAAGAATACAGATTAAAAATAATGGATACAAGCACAATAAAGGAATAAGAATAAGAAATAAAAATAAAATAAAGAATGGCGGTAAGAATACAGAATAATAATAAGGAATAAAGGTAAGAATAATGTATATATATAAAATCAGGGAATAAGAATAAGGAATAGAGAATCAGAATAAGGAATATAGGTAGAATAAAGAACAAAAGTCAGAATACGAAATAGACGCAAAATTAAGGAATAATAATAAGATTAAAACAGTTTACAAGCACAATAAATGAATAAGAATAAGAAATAACAGTAAAAATAAGAATAGCGGTAAGAATAATGAATAAGAATAAGGAATAAATTTAAGAAAAAGCAATAGATGTAAAATTATGGAATAAGCATAAGGAATAATAAAAATAATGATTATAAATAAGGAATAGAAGTAGAGTCTAAAACAAGAATAACGATTAGGAATAGTGATGACAGGTAGAATAAGTTATAAGAAAAAGGAATAAAGTTAAGAATAAGGGCTAGATGTAAAATTAAGGAATTAGAATAAGGTGTAAAGGTAAGAATAATGAATAAGAATAAGGAATAAAGGTACGAGTAAGGAATAGATTTAAAATTACGGAATAAGGATATGGAATAAGGGTAAAAATAAGGAATACTTGTAAAATTAGGGAATAAGAATTATGAATAAAGATAAGAATAAAAAAACAAGTAATAGCGAATATGAATAAGGAAGAGAGGTATAACGAATATGGATAATGAAGAGAGGTAGAACAAAGAAAAGAAAAATGAAATAATATGATGAAAGCGATAAAGAATAAAAATAAGAAAAATCTAAATTATAGAGAAGTGAATGGATAATTTTTTTTTTAAATAATTAACAAAATTGAAATGATCTTTAATGAATAATGACAATATTTGGAGCTGAATGAATTAGTTTTATTTATTTTTACTTTTGCATTTTTCTTTTCTCGTCAGCCTTTTACAAATAATCAAGAGACGATGGTGAGGAATACGCTCCTATATAAACTACTATGATAAACAGAAGCACAAACTGATGCTAACTTAACAATATGATACTTTTTATGCATACGTATTGAAATAACGGAAAAAATGAAAAAAAAACACAGAAAAGGGCAAAATGATCACAACGCACAACCGTGCAGACGGGCGTACGCAAGCGTGCGGACAAGCGCGCACACAAAAGAGAATACAGAAGAAAATTTACACCAGCGCTAAATACATATAAAAAGAAGAAGCTGAAAAGATATAGGCAGTAAATTTCTGATACCTCGTGAAGAGTGGACGAACAGATCCGTCTACGAAACTCTGGAGTCAAGATACTGAAGGTAACATCAATCAGCTAAGTGACAATTTTACTCAAATTAATCCTATTTACTGATATATCAATATATGTATCTTAATGGAAATATGCACTCATTTATATACATATATATTAATATATACATATTGAATCAATTGTTAGGTCTGCTGCTGGGAGAGTTGATCCACTGCGTCGTGTTAGGCAATTTTTATCGACACAATGTGTCTTACACATTTATAAGTTTATCCTTTGTCTATGCATAGAATATAGTTTACACATTTGTTTTGTTGCTTCTGCAACGTTTTCAGAGATTGCTGAAAAAGTCCAAAGAAGAATCTGAAATGTTATCAGTCCTGACCTGACATCTCGAGTTCAGTTACTTTTCTACCAATTTAATGTTGCTCCCCTGTGCTTTTTCTATAAACATTTTCATTTTGATGCTAAAACATATTTGAAAAAGAATGAGCTGATGTTTTAGCGAGTGCATTTCTCACCCAATCTTAGTGACTTTACAGATGCTTTCTCTTCTAAAGAACCCCCTGTCCATTGATGTGTTCAGCATCATGTGTCACTGTCATGGTACATTTTACATAATGCACGCCTCCTCTCTCTCTCCTTTACTCCCTCTCTCTCGCTTTCTTTCTCTCTCTCTCTTTTATATATATATATATATATATATATATATATATATATATATATGAAATGAAATATATATATATAAAATGATAATCTGTATGGATATATATATAAAGTGATAATCTGTAGAGGATATAAATGGATGTCATAAATAACTACATGATGTTACAGAGAATTTTTAAATATATTCAGTTTTAAACCCCGACAATTACCAATTCCGAATCTCCTTTAACTTTTTTCCTTTTCTTTCTCTTGTTTTTTTCCTCTTTCCTTTCTTCCTTTGCTTTCTCTCCTTTGTCTCTTTCCTCTTTCCTTTCTTCCTTTGCTTTCTCTCCTTTGTCTCTTTCCTCTTTCCTTTCTTCCTTTGCTTTCTCTCCTTTGTCTCTTTCCTCTTTCCTTTCTTCCTTTGCTTTCTCTCCTTTGTCTCTTTCTTCTTTCCTTTTTTTCCTTTGCTTTCTCTCCTTTCTCTCTTTCCTCTTTCCTTTCTTCCTTTGCTTTTCTCCTTTGTTCTTTCCTCTTTCCTTTTTCCTTCTTTTCTCTTTGTCTCTTTCCTCTTTCCTTTTTCCTTTGCTTTCTCTTTGTCTCTTTCCTCTTTCCTTTCTTCCTTTGCTTTCTCTCCTTTGTCTCTTTTTTTTTCTTTTTCTTTTCTCTTATCTCCTTTTCTCCTTTCCTTTCTCTCCTCTTTTCTTTTTCCTTTCTCTTTTCTCCTTTCTCTTTTTCCTCTTTCCTTTTTTCCTTTGCTTTCTCTCCTTTTCTCCTTCTTTCTCTTTCCTTTTTTCCTTTCTTTTTTCCTTTTTCTTCTTTCTCTATCCCTTTCCTTTTTCCTTTCTTTCTCCTTTTCTCTCTTTCCTCTTTTCCTTTTTTTTCTTTCTCTATCCTTTTTGTCTCTTTCCTCTTTTCTTTTTCCTTTCTTTTCTTCTTTCCTCTTTCTTCTTTCCTTTCTTCCTTTTCTCTTTTTTCTTTTCTCCTTTGTCTTTCTTTCCTTTTTCCTTTTTCCTTTCTTTCTCTCCTTTTCTTTTCCTTCTTTCCTTTTTCCTTTGCTTTCTCTTTCCTTTGTTTCTTTCTCTTTCTTTTCTTTCTTTCTTTTTTTTGTTTTCATTCCTTTTAGTTTTTCTCTTTCATTTTTTTTTCCTTTGCTTTATCTCTTTTTCTTTCCTCTTTCTTTTTTCTTCCTTTTCTTTCTCTTTTTTTTCTCTTTCCCTCTTTCCTTTTTCCTTTTCTTTCTCTCCTTTTCATTTTCCTTTTCTTTTTTTTTTTCCTTTCCTTTTTCCTTTCTTTTTCTTTGTCTCCTCTTTCTTTCTTTCTTTTCTTTGCTTTCTTCCTTTGATTTCTTTTCCTTTTTCACTCTTTTTTTTTTTTCTCCTTTTCCTTTCATTTTTTTTCCTCCTTTGTTCTTTCCTTTTTCCTTTCCTTTCTTTCTTCTTTTTTCTTTCCTCTTTTCCTTTTTTTTCTTTCTTTCCTTTCTTTTTTTTTTTTCTTTCTTTCTTTCTCTCCTTTTCTCTTTCTTTCCTTTTTTTTTTCCTTTCCTTTTCTCTTTCCTTTTTTCTCTTTCCTTTCTTTCCATTTCCTTTTCTTTCTCTACATTTTTTTTCCTTTTTCTCCTTTCCTTTTTCTTTTTCCTTTCTTTCCTTTTTTCTTTTCCTTTTTTTCTTTCTTTCTTTTTAAATCTTTTTTTTTTCCTTTTTCCTTTCTTTTCCTTTCCTTTTCTCTCCTTTTAAAATTTTTCTTTCTTTCTTTCTTTCCTTTTCCTTTTTCTTTTTTCTTTTTTTCTTTCTTTTCCTTTTTTTCCTTTTTCCTCTTTTCTCTTTCATCCTTTTCCTTTTTTCCTTTTTTTTCCTTTCCTTTTTCTTTTTCCTTCTTTCTTTTCTTTCCCTTTCTCTTTTCTCTTCCTTTTTTCCTTTTAAATTTTTTTGTCTCTTTCCTCTTTTTTTTCTTTCTTTCTTTATCCTTTTTCCTTTCTTTCTTTTTTTTTCTTTCTTCCTTTCTTTTCTTTTTTCCTCTTCCTTTTTTTCCTTTTTTCTTTTCCTTCCTTTTTTCCTTTTCCTCTTTTTTTTTTCCTTTTCTTTTTTCCTCCTTTTCTTTTCTTTTTTTTTCTTTCCTTTTCTTTTTTTCCCTTTCCTTTTTTCTCTTTTTTTCTTTTTCAATTTTCCTCTTTCCCTTTTTTTTTTCTTTCCTTTCTTTCTCTTTCTTTTCCTCCTCTGTTTTTTCCATTTCCCCGATTTTTCTTTTCTTTTTTTCTATTTTTTCTTTCTCCTTTGTCTCTTTCTTTTTCTTTTTTTTCTTTTCCTTTATCCTTTTCATTTACTTTTTCCTTTTTCTTTTCTTTCCTTTTTTCTTTCCTTTCATTTTTTTTTCTCTTTCCTCTCCTTTTTCTTTTCCTTTCTTTTCTCTTTCCTTTTCTTTCTTTCTTTTTCCTTTTTCTTTCCTTTTCCTTTTTTTCTCTTTTTTCATCCTTTTCTTTTTCCTCTTTTCTTTTTTTTTTCTTTTTCCTGAAAACTCTCTTTCCTTTTTCTTTCCTTTTTCCTTTTTTTCCTTTCTTTCTTTCTTTTTCCCTTTCTTTCCTTTTCTCCTTTCCATTTTTTTTTTCCTTTTTTTCCTTTTTACCTTTCTTTCTCTCCTTTCCTCTTTCCTTTTTCTTTTCTCTTTCCTTTTCCTTTTTTTTTCTTTTCTTTCCTCTTTTTTCTTTCCTTTGTCATTTTCCTCCTTTAATATTTCCTTTTCTCTTTGCTTTCCTTTCTTTTCCTTTTTTCTTTCTCTTTCCTTCTTTCCTTTGTTTTTCCTTTTTCATTTTCTTTTGGGATTTTTTTCCTTTTCTCTTTCCTTTTTCCTT